ATAGTTAACATTACGAAGAATTAGTTTAATGTAGTTGTAATAGAAATAAGTAAAGTTTGTAGGATGCAAAGGGAGAGGTGATTAAGTTCATCAAAGTATAATAATAGAGTAAGTATCTATCAAGATTAGGAAAACGAAAAAATAGGTAATCAGCTAAATAACATTGACATATTTATCATTGAAAGTATGTTTGCTGCACTATGCCAAATGTTTATGCACCCTGTTAGAAAAAAGTGGTGAACGAGAAATGAAAAGTTTCCATCAGATTATTGATTGTGGTGGACTGGAACACAAGTAGTAATCTTCCACGTTAGCATAATTGATGTTAGCGGAATGTGTATTAAGAGGAAAAAAAGTAAAATCGATAGACCATCAGGTTATCTGAATGTTCGATTACCCTACGTTTATACGTATATTATTAACAGCTCGCTTATACTTGGCGCACCTAGTGAAAATAAAATAATTGTTATCGAAATCAACATGTTACGTACTTGTTTGCTCCGCACCGCGTGATTAACATCCGTTATGAAAATATTATTTATTTTTCATCCCGCGATTATATTCATCGACTTAAATTAAGTTTCATTTTATATCTCGTCGACGCGTAGATGAAATATGAACCGTTGATCGCTGTTTCAACAAATTTATAATGACGAGCAGCAATAATTAAACTTGCTAGGACCTGTTCTATCGTAGAGAACTATAGGAGACTGTTTTAAATTCAAACCCGATTCGAGATTCGACTCAACGATATCGATTATTTTTTACTCTGTTTACAACAAAAGGAACAGTAAACAATAGAAAGGAACAATTGATAGTCGTTTCTCAACGCAATAAAATTCGTGCATTACATCATTTATTAATTTATCATTGATAACATTGAACAACCCCGAAAGAAGATTATTTCTGGATACCCGTTGGAAATTGAGGTTAAATCCTATTAACCCGACGTATCCAGCAGAGAAACGACGCTGAGAAACAGTAGATTAATTGTAGAAACAGTGAAGTAATTTTAATTAGAAAAATGGCATTGACTAGAGAACGGCGTGCAAACGCCGGTAGCAAAATGGCAAAATTGTTGAACGAGGAGGAAGAGGATGATTTTTATAAGACAACTTATGGAGGTTTTGAAGAAGTAGAACAGGATCATGATTACATGTACTAATTCGTTCATCAATTCCTTCATTCCTATCTAAATAAAAAACGATTGATGATCATATTTGGTTTTAGGGAAGAGGACGAAGCTGAGGATGAAGTTGATTCAGATTTTAGCATAGATGAGAACGACGAGCCGATTTCTGATAACGAACAAGAAGAACGTGAGAAAAAGAAGCGTGGAGTAGTGACGAAGGCTTATAAGGAGCCAAAAGTCCAGTCGCAGCAACCACCGAAGGAGAAGAAAGTACGCCAACCGAGACAGAGAATCTTCATTGAGAGCAGTGAGAGGAAATCTATACGTCGTTCGACGGCTGCAAAATCTGCGGCCACCCGGAAGAGACTAAACGAAAGAAATGAGCATCAAAAGAGAAAAACGCGTGTCATGAGACACGACACTTGGAAGCCCACTCAGGAGGAATTATTAGAGGAAGCGTTGCAAACGGAACAAGTCAACATGAAATCTTTAGGTAGGTCTTTCGTCGATGGGTTTAAATGATTCAGCATTTTCTACAATTTTCTGATTATATTGCAGAGAAGTATCAGAAGCTGGAAAATGAAAAGAAAAACACGAGGACGGTGAGGAAGTCGCAGACAGAGCCGATGATTAGGTATCAGTCATTAGCGATGCCTCTTATGATACTTTCAGAGGTGAATCATGATAAAGAAGACGATAGGATCAATATCGACGAGGACGATGAGAAGAGCGTTAGTTCGGAAAATAAACAATCGGATGACGCCAACGAGGAAAGGTATCTTATTTTATCTGATTTCAAAATTCTGCAGTCTATACATTTTTATCTGTTCCAATAGCATGACGATAAAGACTGAGAGTGACGCGAAAGAAGTTAGTAAAAAGCACAAAAACAAATATTACTACGAACAAACTAAGGGATACTACGAGAGGACGTTCATCACGTTTGAAAACGAACAATTGTTCTCTCAGGCTTTCAAGAAACCATCCACGACTCCGAGGCCACCGATGAAGTCTTTATGTGCAATCACAAGGTAAAGTATAAAAAATATTAAACCTGGGATAATTATCCCTAGGATGTCCCTATTTAACATTTAATATTTTATATCCCGTTAAATGATGAATAAAATTTAGGCTGCCAGCGAAATATCTGGACCCCATGACTCATTTACCATATAAGAACGTACAAACGTTTCGGTTATTACGTGAGGCGTATTACCAGCAGCTGGAGGCCCGAACGGACATCAACGACACGTCGCAGAGTCCGGAATTGTTGCGTTGGCTCGAGTGGAGGCAAAAGAGTCATGGCGGACTCGCTCAGAGGAACACGGTTCGCCTCGAGCCAGCCTCCGCCACGATGCCCACGTAACGACCCGTCTCAAAGATTCGCCTAAACGCAGACTGATAATTGAACGACAAAAGTGGCTTTGAGAAAGAGCAGCTTGTAAATAATAGTATAATTTATTAATACGCGCTGTGTGAATTGCAGCCGTCTTAAAAATAACATACACCTCTGTATTTATACAAAGCTGTAACGATACAATACTTCTTACGGAACGAAAGTTGTACGGAACACACGGTACATCTGTGTTCGAAGCAAAACAGTGGTTTTTATTAATAAAATTATAAAGTACAAAGCATTGATTAATAAAACGCCGCGCGGACCACGCGGCTCCGACCTCGCTCGCCTCTTCTGTACGTATATGGAAACCGATATCGAATTCGCAAACGGGGGATAAGTCCCAATTCAGGAATCGTGTTTAGAAATGATATCGAATGGAAAACAAAGGTTGCGTACTGGAGGGGAAAGTACGGTTGTCCTTATCATTAATTTATCCGCACGCACACGAAAGTATTGCCAGAGAAGCTGACAGAGTTGATATTTCCTTTTTTTTTTAATCTTCAAAGACTGCGGATTTTCATTGAAAATTCATGAAACATTTCTGTGAATTCTTGTATGTCCTTATATATATGGTTTTTTGCATGTCTTCTGATAGATAGAAGGTTTAATAGATAAAATCCACAGTCTGTGCACCTAAGCCCTCGACGAGGTGTAGACATCTGAATATCTTGTTTGTAACGTTTTACTCACTCTCCATTTATTGATCAAGATACAACGAGGACTCGTAAGGATAACAGATTACATTGCGACTACACACATCGAAGCGATACTTATTAAGACGCCTATGAAGTACAATACAGCCGATGATCGATGTACCTTCGTGTACTTATCACTCGCGTCGATTTCCTTACTTTCACCTCTTTAAGAAAAATTAGATACCTTCAAAAGCGTTTTTAATATCTCGTTTCGTCCTCGACTGGGCAAGCTGTCCTTATCCGTAAACGCTACGGTGCAAATTCGAAAGCAGAGAGTGAGCAACAATGAAAGTCCAGATCTGTTATCATCCTCTTGGGCTACCTCTTCCTCAGCCTCGTGCATACAACTTATTAACAGCAAGCCCTCACGTGTACTATGTATACAGCCTGTTTCTGAAACGTTTGGCCAAATTCTGGAGAACGTCGTACGTAAGGATGAAAAAATGATGCGCCCGTGAAACAGTTCCTCTGCTTAAGTAGTTATTGCTTGCGTGGTGTCCCTCTACTAAAAAATTCGTTTGTTAGACGCGTTGAATATGCTCGTTCATCGCTGAAGATAATTGTGTTCCTGGTTTTTTCCATCCCTGCGAGACGGTAGGCCCCCGAGCAAGATTCGACGAAGCATTTCAGACACAATCTTTCGGTGTAACAGTTTATAAACCGTTGGCTTTCTACGTGTCAAGTAGAATAACACATGTATTACAAAGAAGCAGTAATACAACACTGACTTAAGATAAAGAGTAGAGTAGACAGGGTGGGTGGGGGGTCAGCGGGGTTTGAGAGGGATGAATTTCTCTGGGACAGAATTAGTGCGTACGCGTTGATCTTCGTTCGATCGATAATTAGATCTAATGATGTATTTCTTTCCTCTTTCTCTCTTCTCGGTTTCTCTCGGATATTCGCATTCCTAGCGGCGAGATTACAGTGGATTCCATTGCCTCTTCCCAAATAATCCGAAGGAACTTGAACAAGGTGCGACGACGACGACGACGTCCGGTAGAGTAATTAAAATGGGTCTGATCGAGCTCGGTGGCCATGCCGGTTGAAAAGCGAATTCGGCGACGAAAGGAATCGTGCATGCTCCTGATTTAAATTAAGTACAGCTCTAGTCGTTTGTCCGGGAAGCGGCAGAACGCCGGATTATTTGGGAAAACCGTTTACTGTTTTCTTTGTTTTGTTTTGTTTTTTTAACTCGTGTATACTTATATTCGTAAATAGTCTTGACTCTTGTACTGTATGCACCTGTTACGTTTACCGTCGACCATTTTTCTTTCCGCCTCTGCCACTTTGTGTGTCCTTCTGCAAACACAAACGTAACGCAGTCCCGATTATTAATAGCAATCAAATCGTTCATCGGCTGGTGTGTCTTTTTTTTAAACGACTCCCACATGTTTCAGTTCTTTTATCTTGACGTCGTTTCAGGCGGTTGCCATTTTGTTTTTATAACAAACGAAAACTGGTGTTACTCTTGAGATTGTAGAAATAAAAATGTTCCGGGGATTGTGCTTAACGAAATCTACTTAAGTGTATTTGTAAGAATTTCAAGGTACTTCTCGATAATCGAAAGAAATATTTATTCAGCCGAATGTTACACGCTACCACTAGTCTAAAGAAATGCATCGTAAAGCCTCAGCGTTACACGTAAAAAAGAAATACGTACGGTGGTATGTATTATGTATGTATGTATGTATATATATATATATATATATATATATATATATAATTCTTGTATCGATACCATATATCTCTTAAAAATTAACAAGTCCACAGTTCACGTGTTACATACTTATATATGTGTATACATATTTAGAATATGTGCTATAAAACATGTAGAATATAATACTGAAGTTGGAAATAAACGAGCCATTGTTGATTCGAACGAATTTAAATTGTACCGAGGTTCATAATTTCTTGTTATTCGTTGCTCTCCTGCGAGTATCGTTTCCAGGCGAATAAATTAAACATAAAGAACAGATCACTTTGGCTTAATCAAATGACGAGGAGACGTATTGCCGTTAATAGTTCTTGAATATAAATGAAGATGAAAAGTGTCTAATAATATAAAAGTGTGTTTGTGTGTGTGTGTTCAGTCTGTACTCTGCGCTGATTAATAAATAATCCCTCGGAAATGAGTCCACGATCACACGACAACAAAGACAATTAGTAGCGATCGTTATGGAAGAAAAAATACATAATGAAATAGTGTCTTTAGTAATGTTTAATTTTGACGTATTGTTAAAATTAACTCAATTTACAAATCAACTTAACATTTAATAATTAACTAACCATAGTTTTCTTATAATATTAAAACTATGCTATCGTACAAAGAATTATCCCAGAAACTTTCGTGTTATATATATATATATTCTTTTTTTCCCATTTTTCTTTTCTTTATACTGGACCGTAGACTAAATTTTTCTGTGTTTTCATTCTCTGTTTGCTCTGCCCCCGCTCCTCTCTCCCTCATTGAAAGCCGGCGTTAACCGAGTGTACTCCCGCGATATTCATACTGTACTTTGCGTTTACACACATTTTAATCAGCAAGGTGAGTCACTGGCAGCACTGCTTACGCATCCCCTCCGAATTCATCGTTGGCTTCACGTCGATCGGTTCTACGTTCTGTGGCCGGATTGTGTCACCCTCGGGTGGATCGCGTATCTGTTTCTGCGACACGATTCTGTAGATTTCTGTAACCGCCGAGAGTGCCAACCGTTACTCTCACACCGTTTGAGATTAAGAAAACAGGAAGAGGAAAGAACGTGCGATGGTGTTTCGAGCTTGGAAATAGCTCGGACCGGATCTAATCGGGTTTGGCTGGTTATTTAGGAGTCCAGGAACTTTGCTTCACCTGTTAATATGTTTTGAAACGCCGTCTCGACGTTCGTTGAATCTAGAGCAGAAGTCTCAATGAAGGAGAGGCCGTTTCGCTCTGCGAACGTCTTCGCCTCGTCGGTCGGGACCGCGCGCAGATGCCTCAGGTCCGATTTGTTTCCCACTAACATAATGACGATGTTCTGATCGGCGTGGTCCCGCAGCTCCCGCAGCCATCTCTCCACGTTCTCGTACGTTAGATGCTTCGCAATATCATAGACCAACAGCGCACCCACCGCACCCCGATAATATCTATGTTCAATCCAAGTCAAGTTACATCCTCGATGACCAATTGTTACAATGCGGATTTCATTCGACTGACTCTGTTCATATCACTTCTATCAACCGCTTGCCATAATATTCGAACCTTGTGCCTTCCCACCGCTTTTTACATTCTCCTTGGATTATGATCACAAGTCTGACTCGTGATATCCACACTTGGCATGGAATGATCATGAGTTCAACTCATGACATTCATGTTTAAAAAATTCTAATCAGATTTAAAATATGGCAAGAGGTTGATAGACTCTATTATACAGAAATATTATTGTTCTTAGAAATGAAAGATTCTTATTTGGATCCGCGTTGTGTTCATCGATAAAAATCCGCAGTTTATTAATCACCACCGTGGGGAACGCTGGTGATTCATGCGGTCGCAGATGTGACGAGCCAATGTTTTGACTTGTTTTTGAACTTACGCGGACGTGATAGCACGATAGCGCTCTTGTCCTGCTGTGTCCCAAATCTGAGCTTTGATAGTCTTTCCGTCTACTTGTATACTACGCGTAGCGAATTCAACTCCTATAGTCGATTTCGATTCCAAGTTGAACTCGTTTCTCGTGAATCTCGACAACAGATTACTTTTTCCTACCCCAGAGTCGCCGATAAGAACAACTGAAACGACAACAAGTTGTTCGTTAACAAAACCTACGCGCGACGTAACAATTCGAATTCGGCAGCTATACCGATTTTACTATTAATATTTATCCGAGGAAATTTCGTTCTCGTCGCTCGAGGAACAATGGAAATAAGTATGTGGGCGACAGCGTGCGAATCACGCAGAGGAATGCGGCGCACGATCAACCCCGTTCGACGAACAAATTACAGAAATGATTAAAGGAACACGTATATGGAACAGGCGCTCCCGTACATGGATGTGTCCACCGATAACAGTGACCAAGAAATCGAGTTTAGATGGTTGACTCACGCGATTAGGCGCGGGCCGAGATTACTTCGGAACCGGATTGACAGACGGCTGACTGACAGAAAAGAGATGATTCGGCTCTCGCATAAAGCGAGAGCCTCTGATGTCATCGTTTAAACCCGATGCCCTTACGCTCTCTGCCCCTGTCAATCGTACGAACCCAACGCTGCCCACAGCCCCGCGCGATCTTAGCTACTGACAATTGTTGATCCTTTCCGGGGTCTGACGATCGACGTTACAAAATTTCAAGCTTAGCGATGATATACGATCGGGAACAGCGGACACGTATACGCATACACACGGGCTCGCACGTCTGTCCACACGTACGCGCGGAAATATGCAAATGTCGCGTATTGTATACGTGTACGAGCGTGTATGCGTGAAAGAATTTTGCGGAACAGGAGATCCCTCGGCGATCGGCGAACGCGGAGATGGGCCGATGGACCGAAGCCGGGTTTACCTTTAAATAAATAATCGTATTCGTCGTCCCGAGTGCCCATCTCGCCTGGAGCAACAAACCCCTTTAGTGGACTGACGGACGGTGCCTAGATATCAGGGGGGACACACTACTACGACTTGTAGTTATTTACAAAAGGTACGAGTACGAGCCCGACGGAGGAGCCCGTGCGCTGTTGCTCTGCTCGGCGACGGTACGGCGACACCCTCGTCGATATACACGGCGGAAACACGGAACGAAACAAGCACGACCGCACGATGATATAATTATTTTCGTTCTTTCAATTTAACTGTACAATATGGCCTCCTTTCTACGCCCCTCCAAACCGATAAATTACACATGCGCAACGAGCGCAGTCCGAACGCATGCGCTGCTCCGCCAAGGGTCATACTTACCACAGATGAGCACTTGGACGTAAAACGATCTCGACGGTTTACATTTATATTACTGTTATAACGATTATAATTGCCGTATTTATTAATAGAAGAATAATAACATTTTGAATTGTATGTAATCAATCAAAAGTAACTTAAAACGAAAAGTATACTAATGACAGACTTCAGTTTATAATTTGGAGATCTTTAACTCATCCCCTCCTAGCAGACCGAATATGCAAATTTGGTTTCGGGCCGGTTTACAAGGAACGTGAGACTGTATAAATATATACTCTATTTGTGTATATATTATCTATTATCTCCACAAATCCACGATTTTACGATAGACTCGAATGTTGTGTAAGTCAGGACCACGTGCTAGGTAACAGAAAACATGTAAGTCTCCGTGGGGACACACGTGAAACGATATACCGTCGTGCAACTCGACGAATATCTCGATAGATCCAATATAAAACTGTTAGTGAACTGGTTAAACAGTTCGTAATCGTTGCCGATCTTTCACGTTCTAGATCCGACACGAGTATAACTGATGCGGCAACGGGACAATTTATCATGTCGGTAAACACGTGCGTTATTGTTTCGTTGCTTGCGGAATGACCACGGAGCTTATTCACAAAGAAATATGCTATTGAACGTGGACGGGAAAGTTCCTCAATGTTCTGTCGTTATAGCGAGTAAACTTGAGAAATGAACAAGCTAAGCCTCTATATACCGCCTAACTTGGATCTGGAGGATCCGAGGTTTAAGATTAAACCGTATCAGCAGGTCGTTGCTTCCTGTACCGGTGCTTTCATCACGTCATTTTTTGGTAGGTATCGAATGAAGCCGCAGGTTCTTAGGGACACAGATAACAATGTTTGTCTGCAGTTACTCCTTTAGATGTGGTGAAGATTAGACTTCAAGCTCAGCAGAAGGCGATGCTTTCTAACAAATGTTTTCTTTATTGCAACGGTCTGATGGATCACTTATGCCCATGTCCTAATGGCAAAGGTCCGGTGTGGGCCAAGGGAAACGGAAAGTTCAAAGGCACAGTGGTAAGTGTGATTAGTTTTTATAAAGTAAAATTTAATAAAAATTCCATTGAAATTTGGATATTTTATAGGATGCTTTTGTGAAAATTAGTAGAAGAGAAGGGATTCTTTCGCTATGGAGTGGTCTGAGTCCTACTCTCGTTCTAGCAGTACCTGCAACTATAGCATACTTCGTTTCGTATGAACAGTTAAAAGCATACTTTAAGGTAAATAAAAATTTATCCTTATCTAATTCCCTCAGTTTACACGGTTCTGTTTTTGCAGGATACATATAATAATAGGTTCAGAAGAGTTAAAACAGTCGCCCAGGAACAGCCGTTCTGGATTCCGATGGTGGCCGGTGCTTCGGCACGTATTTGGGCAGCGACTTTAGTGAGCCCGTTAGAATTAATTAGAACGAAAATGCAATCTCAAAGATTAAGTTACGCAGGTACTTCATTACTCTCTCATATGAAATTTCATCCATTTCCTATTTCAATAGATATTTCATTTTCCAGAAATTATGCAGGCATTGAAAACTGTTGTAAAATACGGCGGTATCCCTGGTTTATGGATGGGATTAGGTAGTACTCTATTACGTGACGTGCCGTTCAGTGCGATCTACTGGTTGCACTACGAGACGATAAAAAAGAAATTCAGCGGGACGCAGCAGACTTTTACTTTTAATCTTACAGCAGGCGCTATAGCAGGCTCTGTAAGTAATTTTCTCCCCACATCCGAATAAGACGCTGGAATACTGCTAACAAGCGACGATTTACAGATAGCTGCATTTTTAACACTCCCATTCGACGTAGTGAAAACGCATAAACAGATTGAAATGGGTGAGAAAGAAATTTATTCAGGTATTTCATAGAAGGACTCTGTGTTGCTTTTCTTTATGCTATAACCAGCTTTACGGGAGCGGTATATCAGTATTTCAATTACAGACAAACCGGGACGCAGCAGTACGACTTGGAATACAATACGAAAGATTTACTCGCAAAACGGAGTGAAGGGACTGTACACAGGACTCATCCCTCGTGTGATCAAAGTGGCCCCGGCTTGCGCCATCATGATCGCCACGTTCGAACACGGGAAACGGTTTTTTACCCTCTACAACGCTAGTCAAGTGGTACAATACGAGAGTGACGTGCAGCTTCTAAAACACAAACAGAACAGCTCCGAATGACAGGCTATGATACATTATATTTAAAGACGAATAAATTTTATTGAAAACTTTAAGCCTCTCGTCAAAGTCCTTTTAATTGTATACATAGACATTATCACTTACAACTACAAGCATGCACGTATGGAAAGTTACGCTATCGACTACCGATACGAAAGCCTCTAAGGCGGGTTTCTATCGAAATCCTTGGCTATCATCGAGCAAAGGTCAAGCGAGAGCCTGTTTCGAATGATCTCACTTCTTATTCAAATCGAATTTGAAAGTAGGCCGACACCAGAAAGCTTCGATAAATGATGATAAGGATTTTGATACGGATCTCCTCGGAATCGACGCGTTGGTTCGCTTCCGGAAATATTCCGGGACGAATGAATCCGTTAGTTACTGCAGTATCGAAACCCCGCTCGGCTAAATTCGGTTGGTCGATAATCGTGGTCGGTGAGAATCGGGGTGTTGGAAGCAGCGAATAGGTCATCGCACGGAAGTCGGTCCGTTTCGTTCGGTCAGGATAGGCTGCTCTGCTGATCGTTCTTGCGCTCCGTTCACTAGTCACTCACCAATTCAACATTCCAAAGGCCGGGTCTTCTTACCGCCTCTTCGACACTACACTCTGGTAAGTGGCGGACGTGCGGCCTGTTACCGAGAAATCCGAGCGAAATTAAAAGAGAATCGCATTCAGCCTCGATAAATAATCGTCCCGCGATCGTTTTCATCGGGAACATTCGTCGGGTACATGTTCTCCGCGCGACTTCTTAGATAATCTCGAGAAACGGTGAACTTCAATTATGTCAGCCGTCGGCTCGCGAGCAGAAGCCATTTTGTAAAGTTCCTACCATCGGCCATTCGCCGTTTCCGTGTGCTCTCCTCGCGGTTCTTCCGTTCTCTCGAACTTGAGATAATAAGAATCGAAGATTATTCGCGACGCAACCCCGGCCTCATTTTGACCCCGTGCCACTTCGAATCTCGTGTAACGGTCCTATCGAACGTGTTACGTAATCCCGTTCTTTACGCAGAACCCGATCCCCGTGTCTAGTGACTCGCTATCGTTCGCCGGGTCTGCACGCGCTGCTTACGATCATCCCGTCTGCTCAACAATCCGATCCCTCGTTTCAGATAACTCGCTCTCAGCGACCCGCACTAGTTAAACGTCACCATGTACGCCTGCACCAGATTCATCGCACCCGTCGCCAGGTCGACGGTGAGTACTTTGATTTTCACCTCACGCGATTATTCACCGACGCTCTCGCGTTATTATATAACTTTGGAATTGATCGTTTCCCAGTTGGTCTCTGGAACGAAAAACTACGTCCGGCCGTTGAGCACTGCCGTGATCACCCACAGCCAGTCTATACAGCAGAACCAGCTCCAGAGCCCAGCCAGTGTTGTGAGTAAATCCACATTTTTCTCATTGCATAACCTATCCCCTTTAACGGGTTACATAAGCGATATTCTTTCGGGAATTCGAAGTTTTTTCAATGGAAAATTATTCGTTCTTCAAAGAAATCATTACTCCTGAATGATTCTCCACTTGACTGATCTTATAATCCATCTTCCCACGAAATGCAGTTTTAAGGTCAAGCGCCACCGAGATTTAGGGTGGCGTTATAAATAAAATTTGTAACTAATTGGGATTTGCATCTTGAACGATTGCTTCTGTTTAAAATTAGTTTTGAAGTCGGGTAAAAGATTTCAAGTATCAGTTCTAGTTTAAATGCTTCGAGTTGCAATTCCTGTTGAAGAAAACACTACACGTTTCACTGGGTCCAAGGGAGACGTTCCCATTGGAGAGTTTCTGTTTACAAATATATAGAATGGAATCTAATTTAAAGAGAATAAGATCTTACCTTAAAATGTAGGATACTTCTTTCACTTTTTTAAGCCGTCCGTTTCTTAAGTCAAAACATTGACTAGAAACTGAAGCGGATGAAGATCATGGTTACATAAGTCAATGTCACTTGGCATATAACAACCCGATTTTATGTAATCTAAAGTCAAAATTATTAATAAACGCGGTATTCGACGCTCATCCTTGTTGAAATTTCTTCAGACATTTATGTACATTCTTAATTATTATCATTTGGAACAATTGTTTTACAGTCGCCGCTGCAGTCGCCGATCGTGCGCGGTTTCCAAACGTCCACAATTAGCCGTGACATTGACTCCGCTGCGAAGTTTATCGGCGCTGGTGCCGCAACCGTGGGTGTCGCCGGTTCAGGTACGTTCGTACAGCTCCGAGAGAACCACCGAATCCAACCCCATTATTCCGTTCTCCTCGAATTCTAGGAATCGGTGTAGGACTGATTTTCGGATCCCTGATAATTGGTTACACCCGAAACCCTTCCCTAAAGCAACAAGCGTTCAGTTATGCTATCTTAGGCTTCGCTTTATCAGAAGCAATGGGCCTGTTTTGCCTAATGGTAGCATTCCTCATCCTGTTTGCGTTTTAATTCCCTCCGAAGACTGTTCCTTCCCTTACCAAGTAAAGTTGCACCATAATTTCAATCAAGGATTAACTCTAGAACTACCAAACGAGACAAATTGAACTGATTTTCAGTGAAGACATGCTTGTATAATAAAAGAAGGTAGTTCTAGTGTCAAAGGAATTATTTCTATTGACAGAGTACTTATTTGATTCTAGGAGCTGGTATCGGTTCGGTGTTCGGTTCGTTGATCATCGGTTATGCAAGGAATCCCTCTTTGAAACAGCAGTTGTTCTCGTACGCCATTCTGGGCTTTGCCCTGTCCGAGGCCATGGGTCTCTTCTGCCTTATGATGGCTTTCTTGCTCCTGTTCGCGTTCTAAGTCACCGAATTCGCATAAAATAAAAACAACACAATACTGCTAGTTTTTAGTGCGTCACTGCCGAGGCAGCGTCCTCTGATTCCCTAGAGATAGAGAAACAGCGGCAGTTGCTTTTGGTGCACGGGATGCCATGAAATCATTAGAGATGCTCGAGCGTCCGGTTCGTGACGGGGTGTGCGACGGTGCGACAATGAATATAAAAAATATTACGGCGGCTGTACACGTGTATTCTGGACCATCCGATCGGACCGTCCCGAACCCCTTCGGGGCCTGATTCGAACGAATTTTTAATCATTTCATGGTCTGCTGTATATCATTGTAGCGTAAACTCACATTATTACAAGAGGAAATAATGGATTTCAGTAAGAACGTTAACGAAAATGTTTATTAAAGATGAACAAAAAAAAGTAATAAAAGAAACAAAAAAACGACAGCCCTGCCTGATGTAAAACCCATAATTCTATTACACGCGCGTAATATTAATTATTATTGTCTCATTAATGAAGTAGTACACGTCGGACATTTTTGTCACGCCCGGAGCGACAAATTAATGGTTCATCATTGTTGTGCCATCGCGTGCGCACGTTGTTGAGGTAACTGGACGAAGGAAACTGTGTACAGTGAATCGAATAAAAACACTTTGTCGTGAAATTATTATCGAATCGAACGAATTTCTTTTTTAACAACCTTTCCTTTTATCTGTGCACTGCAGACTTTATGCAGATATTATAGAAAATATGCGATCCATAAAAAGATGCACGATATTCAAATTGAGTGCATGAAAGGAATTTCTATCTGAAATGCTATTCTTTAATTGACTATCTATTTTGTTTTATATGAAACTTTCAGGCATGGCGAACTGTGTACGCGACACGGCCTTGCGTGGGAGTACAGGTAGGGGCGCGTTAAGTAGTATGAGCGTATTATGGTCCGCCGAGTTACTGTGATACTGCGAATTTTTACCTGACTACTGTATGAGATGGAGATTGTTATTAGAGTAGGGAGAAACGAGTTGACCCTGTCTGGACCAAAGGATTGACACATACATAGATATGTATTAGTGGAGATGTCAGATGGAAGGTTCGGAGTTTCGCCCAGTGATAGGGCATGAAATCTTTCACGAGCGATTTCCCCTCTTTTTTGGCTGCCTACTATTCCCCTTTTGCACCCTCGTCATGCTCTCTCTCAGTCCCACCATATGGTAGATTATCTCCATTACCGTTGTGAAGGATTTCGTGCCCCATCACTGATTTTTCCTTCCACTGGCAGCCGGTCGTATGGCCGGCATGTCGGTACGTGCTGAAACATTCTGTGGGATTTCATGAACCTACCTTGCCGGTTTGGACCCTTGTTTTCTGCCGCACTTTAATACGAGCGTTGACACTCTTTAATAATCCTCGGTGATAATTATAATTCTTCCACGGTAGTCTTATTAATCGCGAAGATGAGCGCATAACTCGTATCGGCCATTGCTAAAATATCTCACACTATGTCCGTCAGCGAGTCACAACAATTCTCGATTCACCGATGCCCACCGCGAGATGGCAGCACGTACACGACTCGCGGCATCGCGAAGTAGATTATCGCGAAAAGCTACGGGCCAAAAGTGGCAGCGCGTGTCTCCTGTCGCTGTCGCTCGTGACGACGAGGAATCGGCGTGCAACCTAAAGTATACACACATTTATTTAATCTCCCCTTGTCGCGTTTCCGGCCGGTGCCCGTGGTCGAATAGCTCGCTTCCGGTGCGGTGTCTGTATGTGTGCGCGTCCTTCCCGATCGCGGTTGATCGAAGTCGAGGCGAGGTGACGGCTGGTTGTATCGCGAGTCCGGGTGCGGCGACCATTATTTTTGATCCCGCGGTCGCTCGGTCCGTCGAAGGACGAGGTGTCCCTGATCAGAAATCGACCGGGAACTTCGCGATCGGCTTTTCGGACGCGGGTGAGTGACAGGTGAAACGGCCGCCAATCGTTCGTCTACGTGCGTGCGTGTGCGTACAGGTTAACCGTCGCGCGACTTTCGTTCACGCAAAGCTAGACCGTGAGATCATCGCGAGATCGTCGATCGGTAGATTCGTCGCCGGGCACTTCGTGATTTTCGTTTAAACACCGCCCTCCCCCCTCTCGGCCGTCTGTTCGCTGCCATTTTTCAGCCCGCCCGAGTCACATGCAACCTGTTGTTTTCGCTGCGTCCTTCTCGTGTCATTGTTGAGATCGGTTCACCGGGAACGATAACAAACGGACGGTGCTTCCAGTGCGTGGGAAACGCTGAACAAGCAAAATTGCGTCGAAAAGCGAGGGAACCAGCGTCAACGTGGGGATCAGCCGTCAGGATGAACGGGTGAGTTACCACATGGTCTGATCTTTCATATACAGCGGCTGCCAAACGAGAACACCTCTCAGGCTTCGAGCCGTGTCAGTAGACCACAAAGTTTTATTTAGAATTAATCATTTACAGTACGTCGTCTTCATCTAAACATTGAAATAGGCATTCAATTTTAGATCTTACAGCGTCTACAATTTCTCTTACAAATATATACGGTTTACTTACGTATTTATACATGAAATATAATGAACAGACAATTACAGATTTTATTAATCAATAGTTGCGTTAGGATTGAAACGTAATCGTCGATGTGCTCACTTTTGGCACTCGCTGTATGCGTGTGGGTTGAAGAAAGGGAAAGGAAAGGGTGTAGCTGAACTGGGTGGACTCGAGGAGGGAGAGAGAGAAAGAAGGAATCGATTTCGTGCGTCATAAAGAGAGAGGACGATGTTGGACCGGTGGAACATTAGTTAAACGAGGATGATGACTTGTCGCGAGAGAATGAAACAGAAGTTTGTTCGAGCACGCGCTCTTTCACGCTTGATGCCTTTTCGTATTCACCCTTGCACTTCCGTGGCTCGCGTGTGTCCACTCAAATGACTCACATGCTCGCTTACAGACCGTTTCCAAAGCGTCGGTCTTCGGAATGTAATAATCAAACCAACGAATGGATTCATTCACGTGGTCATTCATACTTTTACTAAAGTAATTTTATATCAATATTAAATAGAGTAATTAATAATTAAGTGAATTTGTGGTAATAATTGTTAATAAGTCTACGTGTTTGACGCATCAAAATTGTGTTAAACTCCAACAGTATCAACAAGTTTTATTAGTCTTTCAATTAATGGAAGGAAAAATATTGTTTTAGAAAGATTGCTGGTACCTTTGACTAAATTCAGAACTCAGTTTCTTTAATTGTGAAACAGACTGTAGAGCACGTGCGCAACCACTTTTCCGCTTCTGCGTGCGGTTGGCCACGTGACGATGCTTGTCAAAAACCAGTAGTATACTGCTTCGTCTCTCTCTCTCTCTCTCTTCTTTGTAAGTACATAATGATATCATGCGTCCATGGGAGTATTACTTACACATGGGTACGAGAGCCGTTTCTCGATGATCGTTATTTTGTCATCGGGAGTTAACTGGCTTCTCCTCGCTTCTTGCCCTAAGAACAGCTTTAATTCTGGCTCTGGGAGCACAGGTCCCATTCATCTTTTATCCTTCTCTATATCTTTGATCTGAGAAGTATTATAATGTGTTCTAACTAGACTGTGAATTTATGTTGCAATGTTATTAAAATGTATTTAAGTTCACATTGGGTTTCCTACTGCTTTTTACAAATTATTATTGGCGCGTCGATTGTACATCTGATGCATGCCATCTTAATATTATGCACCTAATTCAAATTGATTAATAGCGGACTATTTTTGTTTGTTCGCTATTAGTCTCGACACGAATGTTTTCGAGTCTTTTAAAACACTGTAACTTTTTTACAGTAGAAGTGAATGTGATGAGAGTGAGACTAAAAACTGCCTAAGGACCGGGAAGTAGGGTTGTATAAGTGTTTTGGGAAAATAACATTTGGATGTAAATTAATGGGAAAAGTTTGGAAGATGACAAAGTTCAGAGTGAGTAATGATTTGTGAAGTGATTTTGGTGAATGACTATTGATTTAGATAAGGGATTAAGCAGCTTAAGTACATGTTTAACAATTAGATTACATTTTATATATTATATAAATTCTCATATATGTATAGTAAGTATATTTTGTATATTGTTTGTAAATGCAGGCTTCATGTAAATTACCAAAATTCATGATCTATAAGTAATTGGGAAATCAGCGGTGGACAAGTGCATTTCACTTAATTAACACTTGCCATTTGATTCTTATCTAAAGTACACTTGTACTGTTCACAATTGTTTGAGCACGGGTTTTACTAATCTTATCTGTCGTTTGTTTTGTCGACATACAGATTATTAACATTTATTACTGAGGTTTACTTCATCAGAAATTAGACGACGCACAATGGAAACAACAATTCAGTAGTGGAAAAAGATCATTTTTTAGGAATAATTTTGTAAAATTTGAATCATACACATTGACGTTATCGAATTTTTTTCATTGAAAGGTATTTTCGAACCACATTCCGTCAGGTCTTGAAGACGTGGAAATCGAAATTGATTTATACGTCAGTAATTCTTATCACTGTCGACGATTATTTATTCTATGATGTGCCAATTTTGCGCGCCATTTTTCTGGCTGCCGATAGGAGTTGAATTACCTTGAGGGTTGACTTTCGGTCGGTATATTTCGGTAGCGCGGGGTAACTACCCCGTCTCGTGAACAGGTGGTTTATCAACCCTCGGTCATCCCTTATCAGAGTGGATTCTCGTTATATCGTTTGCTGGTAATTTTTTTTATTCACTGACAACAACGACCGATGATCATTCTCGTTATACTTCATTTAAACTGCTGTCTAAAATATTTTAGTTAAAAGTCCACACTGTGAAGACTTGTGAACATGACTGTACCTCATATTGTAAAGACGATTGAGAATAAGACGTAGCGATCGGTTGAACCGGTCATACAGTTATTAATTCCCATTTCCATTTCATAATTGCATCGATCTGGCCATGAATCATACGGCAGATGTCTATATTCGTTGCCCGGGACGAAATTAGGTTTCGCCACCTCTTGGAGATATGCAATAAGGCGTGGATCGTCGTATATACCTGGCTATATGCTCGGACTATGTGTCTCACTGGTTTTAGTGGACCAAAGCCAGCTGAAGATTTATCGCCTACCACGTGCAAATAGTTAATAAGATAATCTGGATACAGCAGCTTAGGAAAGTATTGGGTCGTCAGGAAAATTCGTGATTTTTGGCATTACGACAGAGGTCTAAGCATATCAGCACGTTAATAAACTGCAAAAGGTGCAATTATATTAACAAAAATTAAAAATGTCTAATTTACTTGTATATGTATTAAAGGTACAAGGTAGCTATGGATCCTCTATAGGAAGGGACTGGAAAACCACGATTTCTATTGTCGCAGAAGAGATCTAAACCGGAAACTGCAGAAGGAATATAGTGCATTAGAAAGACACAGTTTTCTTACCAACGTAGGATTCTATATGGGTAGATGAATTCCATATAAGAATGCACATAAAATGCACTCTTCAATGTACATGTATAATGTATATGTACAATGCATACGAGGATGAATATGTATAAAGGTAAATTGATAAATGCATATACGAATGCATTTACCGATGCGTAAGACAGTACATTTATCAGTGCATTTATAAATGCATTTGTGGATGCACATATTAATGGACGTAACTTGTAGAGAGGAGTGTACTCTGGAATTAAATGGATAGGGACGGTGGTTGTTGAACTGTTTTGATAGGAGCCCGTGTCTTTCGGGTGGCCCGTCTCTGCGATGTTACTCTGGAATCGTGGGAGGTGATGAATGGGTGACGACCAACGAATACCCGAACCGTGTTCCTGGATGAATTTTCCCCGGTAGCGAAAACTAATTCGAGCGTGTCGCAAAATAGAGAGGCGTGGAACCCTCGCTTGTTTTTACAGTGGCCAACTAATTCTAATTCGCGTTACCGACAAATTGTTCTGTCGTGTACGTTTATAATTCAATTTGTAAACCGCTTATAATTTATGCCTCCATGCGTCCGTTACGTCAGACGGTTTCATGAAGATTATTACTCCAGGTACAGCGAAATTATTCTTCTGCATGATAATGCTCGTCCTTATGTTGCGACACTGGCTAAGAAAGTACCGTTCATTCGCAATAAATGTTCAATTTAAGATGAACAATGGCGGGAACTTATTTGTACTTCTAATATAATTTGAAGTAATTTGAGAATCTATTGCGTGGCAACGATTCGGGGAACCGGCGTCTAGGTGAATCGTCGTTCTACTGTAATTTCACACTAGCAATTTTTCTGAAGCCACCGGGTAGTCTCGGTTTCTTTCCCCGGGCAGGGATCAACCCGGGACACTTGATTTTTGATTACACCCCTCGCGGCGGCCAGAAAGGGTCAGCTGGGACAATGGGAACAGAGGGACACGGTCGCCGGGAGGGCGTGTAGGGGTTTCCATGGGATGAATGCCCGGTAATTGCTACTAGACTGGAGGGACACCCTCTCCCTCCGGCACGCACCGTGGAAATTGGCCCCCTCGGCCTACAGATCGGCTGCATTGCCGATGCATCGCTGCTCGTAGCTCGATTGAACCTCGCATCGTTGCCATTTATATCGATGAATGCCCCGCGATGGCAACGTGCGCTGACTCGTGTCAATCGCGTTCCATTGATCCCTTTTTCTCCTTTTTTTCAAATGAAAAACTCGCCCGCCCTTCGCCCTCCCGTCGCCCCCTCCCCCCCCCGTCGGACCGTTTTTCTGGCTTTTCGCGTCGGTGCCGATATTTTTTTTTTTCCTCGCGCCCCGGCCTCCTTTATTCTCGCCGTTTCTAAAGAAAAGAGGGCGGAGGCCGGCTCAAAAATCTCGCTCGGCTTAAGTGCTTTTCGATGGAAATGGAAATGGACGACGACAATTTCATTCAATCAAACGTTTTACCGTTTCTTATTCAGAGTCCCGCCGGAAAATGGGATCCGACTATGTGTTGAGCTAAATTTCATTTAATGCAGATCTGTTTCTCACGGGACATTTAATAC